ACTGCCGTGCCCCCAGATTTAGAATATTTAGTTTTCAGAAATAGTAAGCGCGAGGAGTTCACGAGGTATGCTGATTAATTTTATTGCAAGATAAAGAAAATGTGAAGCTTACATCACTATTGCACAGAAAATCGCACCACCAACACTGGTGGAAACTACTAACACTAGTATCGCGTGCAATATCGATAGTATGTTTCGACATAATTATTATTTTTAAATAAATATTTACTACGTTTCGTTTCATGATCATTACTTTAACATATTGTTATACTAACACTGTTACAGAATAGGATTAAACACACGATTTCAATTATACCTATATTTACTTACTAAAAACCTGTAATGTCTGCGAAAATGGTTCATAACATACATTTTTTTACATTAATTAATACATTAACCGAAAGATGTTTATCAATACATTCCAATTTCAGTATGATTTTACTATCCTGTTAGACTTTCATATCGCACCTCCGATAAAATGCGGTTACAACTGGAAAATCCTGGATTTTTATTCTTGTAGTATTAAATATGTGATACAATTTATGTACAGGATGTTAGTGTAAACACCGTTATCCTTGAAACCAGTGGTTTGGTTTCACTTATAGAACGTAAATTCAATGAAAAATAACACCATTTTTTAAAGTAAAATCTCAATTTTTCCTTAATTCCTTAATTCCTTTCTGCCTGTCCTAAGCCAGGATAAAAGTATGAAGGAAAAGTTACATCACAGGTTATGTGTAACTATTGTGTTTTTATTGGAATGTAGTGTAGGTAGCTAGTGCGGGCGGTGATCTTTACAGTGATTACGTCACTCGGGCGCATAGGGTATCCATGAATTTACGGACGGTGTCGGACAGAAACTTTTTAAATTTTATGAAAGAAAATAGCGTTTTTTTAAATTCATTGCATTTACGTTCTATAAGTGAAAACAAACCACTGGTTTCAACGATAACGGTGTTTACACTAACAGCCTGTGTAATTGTGCAGCGTATTGTGCCAGTGTTTTTCCTGTCATGACAATTGCTTTTCCATATAGTGTTCTTCATTTTTTCTGTTGAAGACATTGTTTGTCTTTTGCGTTTTCATAAGCAATACATAGCTTATAGCGATCCTTTTTTGGCACAAGAATACTAATTTGAACTCTGTGTTAAAAACATTCGCATAATTGAAATCATCATTGTCATCAGTGGTACCAAAAATATGACGGTTTAAAAAATACATGTTTTTATTGACCTTACTGTACTTTCATGTACAACACTGCCGCAAATTAATGAAATTCGTTGAGTTTTTGGTGTTCTATTATTCTTCACAGACTTCCATTAAAAATGCAGTAGAGTATAGGTATTTAGTGTACTTTTCTGCAAAAAAAAAACTTATGTATGTAGACCTAAGTGGCCAACTATTTCTAAAATATGCACAGTTAGTACAGTTTACAAGATGGTATAATACATAATTTTATCCGAAAATAGAAAATTTAAAAAAAATCTTATCTTTTCTTTAACAGTGAAAATGAAAAAGGCGTTCTTGAGTGAAAGAGTCGTTTTTATTGTAGTAAAGATCATATAATATCGGTATTTACTACCCCATCTTTGGTTTATTACGATTTAAGAGACAGCGATAGGTAGAGGGTGAGTGAGCGAGAGAAGAGTATAATGTTAATACATTGTACCTTTTCTTATGCGACTGGGCACGTAACAAAGGCAAGTATTAAGTGCGTCTCTCGACTTGTTGGGTGTCGCATTTGCCAAATCACAGAGAACTCCAAAAGGAATGCCTTTTGGAGTTCTCTGTGATTTTAAAATCAGTGTTATAACCTCAGACGAAATAAAAACTCAAGACAGAGCGCTGTCAACAAAGAAGTGAGGTCGGTTTGGTAAACATGTGTGCACTAAGCGAGTGTTGCCGTGCAGTAAAAATTTATTACCCTAATATATTATTGTCTAAGTACTATCAGGATGAATTGATAAGTAAAAAGTTGGCAATTTTTTCAATTGTATACCTCACTTTAAGAAGTAGTATGTAAGTATAATTGATAGAATCAGGCGTTACTTTGCGGAAATCCATTATATTAAATAATTTATTATGTATGTAAGTATGTTTATTTCGACTAAGAAGGGGAAAAATATATTATTACAATAGTAATATAAAGAAACATGTTTTTATTTTAATAACCTTTTTGTTGAGTCAATTTTTGAAATATTGCCGTTTACTGTCCTCCGTGTTGGAAATTGTTTCCAATTTAGAAATATGGTGGAAACGAATTGATAAATATTTTTCAATTATGCATCTTATTAAACTTATTTTATGCTCTTGACCAGCATAATTGTACTCAGTCTCCAATTTAGAGAAAACGTTGTCAGTATCAATAAATCGTTTTGAAATATTAATAACAACTGATTTGTGTTGGTTTTCGGTAACTATCACTACGCTTTCATTACATAATTTACGTACAACAGTTTCAAAAATTATGCAAATTTCAAAAAGGTCTTTCGACGGAAAGATTAAGCCACCTTTATCTTTTAAAGATATCAGTTTATGGAAGTCCAATATCTCATCCGACTGTAAGCGAGCTAGCCACGTTTGACACTTCATGACCCTTGACAAGTAATGCGCTTTACTTCCTGATATATATACGATAATTTATTTATTTCGGATGGGCAACCTTAAAAATATAGATTTTTGAAGTGATGATAAAACATGAAAAAACAAAAAAAAATAATGCGTATTTACACTACAATAATTTTATAAATATTATAAGTAAAATAGAAATACATTAAATAGAATTACATTAAGTTTCGCGTCACATTAATAAATTACCGAATAAATGGGGACTACTGTGACGCTCTCTAGTGGCAACACTTGTCGACGTTTTATGTTCCAAGCTGTCAGAATAAATAATAAAAATGATTAATTAAAAATTTGGATTTTTATGTATACTTACGTATGAAATGTGATTCCATCCTGTTTTTTATTTCTGGAAGATTGGTTTTTACACTCTTTCACAACACAATTCGGCATTTTTTCTTTAAAAACTGCCAATTATTATAACCTGAAACTCTGTGCGCTGGAATAGCTCGAATGAGAAGCTAAGGCGTAGTTTCGTTATATTTGTGTGCGTGAAACTGTGTATGTACAAGGCGAGGCGTAGTTTTACCTGCCTCAGTGCGTTGTTTGACGGGGCTCTGTCTTGAGTTTTTATTTCGTCTGAGGTTATAACGACGACTCCTGGCTATTTCATTGGGCTCTTAGTTTCGTTTTGTGATTTAACCCTTCAATCCCCATAAAAATCATGCATAATGGCCATAAAAATAAAGACAAATACTTTTCATGCATGATCTGCACAGCTGGCAACTCTCAAGTCCGTATCTAATGCAAGAAGAAAGATCACAATACCAGTTCAAAATAAATTTTTGGACTGGTATATTAAACGGAAAAATCATTGGTCCATTTAAACTGCCCGGAAACTTATCTGGACAAAGTTATTTGAATTTTCTACAAAATGTTCTGCCAAATTTAATGAAAGAAGTGCTTGAGGAAGTGAGACAATTCCACTGCCTACAAAATGATGGTTCTCCTGCATATTATGCTGCAAACGATCCTATTTTGTGGCCTCGCGATCCCCGGACTTAAATCCGCTAGATTTTTTTTGACTGGGGCTGTCTAAAAGAACAGGTGTACTTTAAGCCTATTTCAAGTTTGGAAGAATTGCGCAGTCGTGTGCAGGAAGCCACTTCAAAAATAACTGGACGGCGCTACGCATGATTTCTAAGAAGAGCATTTATAAGAAACTTGTATCGGAGTCGGTGGCAGAAAATTTGACCACCTGTTATGAAATAAAGGTTGATTTATGTACAACTTAAGGCTTTTATTATGACAATTTAAGACAAGATAATTTTTTTCTTTCTTCAGTCGAATTTATTCCTTTTGTATGTTAACGTTAAATAAAATTATGTATTATACCATTTTGTAAACTGTATTAACTGCGCATATTTTTGAAATAGTTAGCCACTTAGGTCTTCATACTTTTTTTTCACGAATGGCTCTCAACCTTCTGTCAAAATTATTTTTTATAAAGTTTTATGCTGAAAATTCAGGTTTTTTTTGCAAAAAAGTACAATAGATACTTATACAATTTACTGTATTTCTCATAGAATAGTTTGTGAGAATAAGAGAACATCAAAAACGCGACGAATTTCATTAATTTGCGGCAGTGGTGTACATGAATGTACAGTAAGGTCAATAAAAAAAATATATTTTTTAAGCCTTCGTATTTTTGGCGACACTTGGATTTTTTGTATTTTTAGTTGAGGGCCTGATACTTGTGCCATTAGGTGCTAGATTTCCACGTATGTACTTACTCATCTCGAAATCTTTTTTTAATATGTGGTAGAGCTATGCTGCAGTTATATTAGTAGTATAGTTGTAGCACGAATCGGTCGCCTCGACCAATAATAATATCAGTGGGATCGAGAATACCAGTGTGAAATTCACACTCTCACGGCGTTAAAGAACTTTTATTGTAAATAATAAATTTCGAAATTATTATTTTGTCATCTTGAGTTCAACTGAGAACCAATTTTACGAAATTCCACTCACGACCGGGATTGCGGGGGGCGTTATAACGAAAGTTTAAAAAAAAATTTAATTATAGTTTGGACTATAATGAATTATAAAATTAAACTGTAGAATTGTATTGTGTTTATTGGAGTGAGTTCCTGGCTGGCTTAAAAACTAAATTGGACCCGATAGGAGACGCTATAGTTGAAATCTAGAAATCACGGTGTGTAAGTGCGAAGCTGGGGCAAATCGATAGTAAATAAAATTAGTATTCATATTGTTAACCATCTAATATATTCGTGCTGAAACCGGTAATGGCGAAATACAGTTTATATATAAGAAGCAATAAATGTTTTAATTTAGTTGCTTGCTGGGCTTATAAAAGCTATAACATGTGTTCCGATTATATATATTTTATAAAAAATAGCATCGGTTAAGTAAAAATGAAAAGTATAGCAATATTATACATAGTCCTGACTGTCATAAAGTTGTCAATATCACACTGTTACTGGAGCGAAAATTGTCATTATAAATATTTTTCAAGTAAAACACCATACCAGTTTGTCAGGGGAGATATCAGAGATTCAGTGGTTAAAATAAAAGGTAAGAAATTTCGATTATTCCTGTTGGTTTTTTTTTGGTAATTCATGAATAAAATTTCAATAGCTAAATTATTTAAAACTTGTAATTTAACGTGTTCATAATATCGGTAGGATGTAAAGAAATTAGTGTCTGGGGATTAGTAAGGCATGGAAAAAGAAATCCAGGAATTTCATTTGCACAGAATATATTAGATGCGATAACATTAAAATACGCTATAAAATTAAACCATGAAAATGGTAAAGGCTCTATGTGTGCCCAAGATGTGGAAAATTTATATAATTGGGAAGCAGATCCAAACATATTTAAAAATATTCACCAAATTACTGAAGAAGGCTATCAAGAAATGTTTGGTTTAGGATACAGAATCAGGAAAGCATTTAAAAATTTACTTACGTCCTTGGATGACAAACATTATAAGCTACGTTCAGCATATGGAGATTGGATAGAAAACGGCGTTAAAGGATTTGTGGAAGGTTTTGGAAATACGTCAATGATAATTGAAAAACCAAACGCCAGCTATGACATAATAGCTGTAGGTATAAAAACATAGAAAATTGTTTTTCAAATTATTAACTTATTTGCAATGTCGTTATTTATGATTTACCTATTAAATTTTAGCCCTATGAAGCTTGTGGTTTCTACGTAAAGGAAGTAAGAAATAATATAGAAACATTCGCAGAAGCATATAAGTATCAAAATACATCAGAGTATCTTGCAGTAAGTTTTCCTTGTTAATATGTTTAATTATTCATACGTCCTTTTAGAAAATTCAAGTTTTGTGTTCAATGATTAGTGAAGATAAGTTAATATTTTGATTATAAATTATTTATAGATATTTCCATTCTCCTCAAACTCGTAGGGTATATTATAGCCTAATTATTCTATACTAAATTCTAGGCAAAAAACAGAATTCAACAGCGAACGGGCATTAATTATACATTGACAAAGGAGAATATGACAGCCTTATATGATTTATGCCGCTATACCTCTTCAGGTTTAAACAACATACTAAGTCCTTGGTGTGCGATATTTACTAAAGAAGACATACAAGTCCTTGAGTACGAAAGCGACTTAAGGCATTTTTATAGAAATGGTTATGGTAACCATATCAATGAAATATTTGGACGTATTCCCCTAGCAGACTTGCTAGAAAGTTTTAAAGCAGCTAAAATTGGAGAAAGAAAGAAGCTTACTGTGTATTTTACTCACGCTACTATGATGGACATGGTATACTCTGCACTTGGATTATTTAAAGACGACATACCTCTAAATGGTACTTTTAGAAATCCTGAAAGGAAGTGGAAATCATCTAAATTAGCTCCCTTTGCTGCCAATTTGATAGCAACTTTAAACAGGTTTGTAATCAAACAATGATTGTTTCAAATATTTCAGCCATAATTATTATTTTTACATAATGCTAGCTAGCCCGGCAGACGTTATTCTGCCCTTTCTCGTTGCTTACACTTTTCTATAGACTTATTTAACGTAATACGTATAGATAAATCCTCTTTATGACTAATAGAACCACCGCTATCGTTATGACAATAAACTTAAAAAAGGGAAAAACATAACCCTTCTTGAATAAAACTATTATTTACGGATTTTATCGCGTTTAATTACTTTAATTTATTTTTATTATTATCCCGACGTTTCGGGTGCTTTACAGCACCCATGGTCACGGGGGGGGGGGAACTGAGATGTTTGACGTCCCAATGTCATAGTTAGTCCGGCTACCTTTTTTTAATATTAATTTTGGTCCGATTTACGCAAAACGAGCTTATAGTATCATGAAGTCTTGCAGTGGTATGCTTGGGTTTTGGTTTAATTTTGTTAATTATAGGATTATAGGACGCTCCGGGAAGTCTGCAGTCTGCGAACATGTTCAAGATCGTCCCTACCATTACATTAGATTTGATAAACCACAAATTCTCGCAAAAGAACACCGATTCTTTCTTCGATTCAAAATGAAAAAACATCCAAATTTCAATAGAGAAGATGGTTGGGTGCTACTATCTACTTGGGATCCTATAATTAACAAAATTAAACCAAAACCCAAGCATACCACTGCAAGACTTCATGATACTCTAAGCTCGTTTTGCGTAAATCGGACCAAAAATTAATATTAAAAAAAACGGATGTTAGCCGGACTAACTATGACATTGGAACGTCAAACATCTCAGTCTCTCCCGTGACCATGGGTGCTGTAAAGCACCCCAAAACGTCGGGATAGTAATAAAAATAAATTAAAGTAATTAAACGCGATAAAATCCGTAAATAATAGTTTTATTCAATGTGTAGTGTTCGCGTAAATTTAAGAAATCATAACCCTTCTTTTTTAGTCTTCTGTAAGCGGATAAAAATTTACTTATATGCTATATGCCATCATTTACTGTGTACACACCAAATTTCGTAGAAATCAGTCCAGTATTTTTGACGTGAATATTGAACAAATAATTTTTCTACAGATTTATTAAATATATAAAGGAGACTGATAAGCTTTCATACATTCTTGGGCCCAGATGGTAAAAAGATGAAAGTGATGTCGACCAATAGCTTATATATTATCAAAACATCACTGAAAACTCGGCGGATTTTGGCAATCTGAGAATAGTTATATATAGAGATTTAGTAAAAGTGAGGTTCTGCAACAAATTGGCAACAACCTGAACTAAACGGCTGATTTTTGAAGTGCGATTGCTATATTTTATTAGACAGCTGTTTACTATATTAATTTCAGTATTTATTGTACTGTATGGAGTGGAAGGATAATAGGAAACTCACAAATAGATTGAAAGATAACAAAGGTTAGGCGATGTTTATAAAAAAATACGTGTGGCACTCGGTGACTGTCGCGGTAAAGCTATTGCATAGCATTTTTTATCAACTTATGCAATTATAATTATTTATTTATTTTATTTATGCAGTTAAGTTTTTGATATTAAATCAAGTTACACTTTTTGAGCGTGGTGGCCGCTAAGAAAACAAATTTTTTTCTCTTATTGAATAAATGAGAAGTAATGTAATATTGTTTAAAATATTTTTAATATCTTACAATACATGTAGGTTATTCAGGATTTTTTATCATTGAGTTAGCAGCTAGTGTACACGCATACGTCTAGTCGCACGCACACAAACACCGTGCCGAACTCTGCCGAGTGCCAAAGTCTGCCGAACTGAAACGACGTTAGACGATGCACGGCTTTCAACGCCACACCTCCGTGCCCGTCGGAGTGGGGAGCGTGAGGTTTTTTTTCGTTACGGAATTTCTGGATTCGGTCCCCGCGCTCAAGGCCCGCGATAGAAGTTATGCAATAGCTTAAAAACACCTTTTTATCTATCTTTCATTAGTCTTTTACAACAAAATCCCAGAAAATATGCAAAATTTGACATACATAAAGTTTAAAAACTTTATAAAACTAAGTTTGTATAAAAAGGGTTATTATTATATTAAGTAAATTATGGACGATAATAATCCCTGGGAAGGGTGATAGCTACCAAGCTATTTCTAATTTGTTTTGTGTTGTTAATTGTAACATACATGACTTTAAGCTATTATTTGAAAAAAAAAATAGTTCCGCTGGGATTCTTGCTGATTCTTCCCAGGAGAGAGAGATTTCTTTGAACCAGTAGTGAATGAAAAAAGTGACTTTCAATCAGTATTGTTTACAATCTGTGTTAATAAAAAGTGATATATATATATATATATATATATATATATATATATATATATATATATATATATATTAATTTTTTTGTTATTTTTTTTTTCATTTGAATTTTTTGAATTTTCTTCTAGATGTTCAAATGGCGAGTCGACAGATTATAACGTCGTGTTTTATATGAACGAAGAACCTTTAGAATCGATCTGTAATAAAGGCGTTTGTTCATGGGAAGATTTTGAAATAAGACTTAATCCTTTTATTAACACTACGACGAACTTTTGTTAATATAAAAAAATTGTTATGTTGTTCTAGTATTTAAGTAAAGTATTTTAGAATAACTAGTCCTGATTTCTGCTGTTCAAACTACCTAAGTAGAAAAAAAAATTATGCACTGTAAAATTATTATATATAACATTTCATTTCAAGTCGTTAAAACTTAAGAAACTACTTTATTTTAATTCATTTTAATGGTACAAATGATCTGAAGCGTTTCTTTATTAATTCAGTATAATTTTTATCATGTTCTGTTTTTTTAAAGTGCCTACACTATGACTTAAACAATACCGGACAAGATCTTCAAACATATGCGCCCATCATAAAAAATTTTTCGGCTTAAACTAAACTTTATATAAAATACGAGAAAATTCAATGACTAAAATTTATATAAGTCACATTTTATGAAGCTTACAAAAAATTTGTGAAGCTCAAAATCCTGCCGTTTTTCTCTTTAAATTAGTTGACTGCGTCTGTTTTATTATTGTTACACTATCATCAGTGTAACAGCTCATTAAAGTGTAATGTTGGACGGTGTTCAATTAAGAGGAGACGTGTTACTCAGTTTAAGACTTCAATTATACTACTCACTGAACTACACTACTAATAGTGTGGAAGCACATGCACTACACCTACCCCGATACTTAAAAAAAAGAAATGTCCTCTATATATTTTTTACATTTTATTTTCTTGATAGATATAATAAAATCAATTTGATTTATGATTACAGGTAAATTACATTGTGAAATGCAATATTTTATCATAATATTATACGAAATCTGAAGCTTATAACATAATATTAAATTTAATATAGAAGATAAAAATAAAATGTTACTGAGGCTTTAAATTTATATAATTTCTAAATGGAGTAAAATAAAATAGTTAAACAAAATATAAAATTAATTTAATTAAAAAAATATTGTTTCATGATCGTGATCAAGGTTATACATAATATTATTATTGTGAAGTGCCGGTACCCGGCACGAGTAGGTTTTTCAAAAATACTATCTGTCTCACATCGCTCGCTACGTATCGCCGTCGTTCGATAGAGAGAGTTGCAAATGTCGGCATAATTGCCTACATTTTTTTTTAAAATATTGTTTCGAGCGATAACGTTTCTCACCCCTAGACCTTTACGAAATGAGACAATGTTGATCTCATTAGATTTAGTATACCTTAATTTAGGTCTGTACATTTTTCTTTTTTAGTAATTCTGTTTAAGTTATTTAAAAAAAAACGCTCGAGGAAGTTTTAAGGTCAAAATGATAGATATTTAGTTGCTAATAACGTATATCGTATGCAATATTTCCTAAAAATAAAAACGTACGGACCTAGTTTTTCATGATATCCAAAAAATTCCAAAAACTTTGAAAATTATATTGTATTTACGGAAGAGAAAACGTTATCCCTTTTTGTATAAAAATTTACAGTTTCACAATCCTCTTAATCAACTTTACAACCCCACGTTTAAGATGAACTTAGCACATATCTTACCATATTATACCATATATTAATATTTTTTATTATTTATTTCCTCTCGAGATATATTACATGAATTTTGTGTATATATATATATATATATATATATTTATTTATATATATATTTATATATATATATATATACTACTCTTTATTTTAACACCTCGTTCTATATTTTCACGGGTTCAGACATGTAATTATGTTTATATTTATTTATTTCTTTTATTTATTAGCATTTCACACTAAAACCTTCACGCAGACGTCTCGCGTATAGCATGATCAAGTATATAATGAGAAAATAATAATGCGTTTTGCGTTTAACTTGACATCAATTATATGTATTTTTCATCTCTTTTAAAACCTTGCTATCTATGAAAGTTCTCATTGGCTTTTTAGCATTTCTATAGTACCCGGTTGCGCACCCGACTATCCGTGAAATAGCTACTTATCACCAATATCTTGTGCTTTACCTATTATCATTCCGTGATTTTTTCATTGCTGTAAAAAGTTAATATTTTAATTCACTCTAATCAATGTGTATAAAACATTCACTGAATTTATTTTTATCAGTCAATAAATTATACAATCCTTGCCATTCAACACAAAACTTTAAGCATCTTAACCGGCAGCGACGATGTGAAACGGTGCGCAGATGAGCGGTACGAGGATTAGCGGGCTAAAAATGTACTTATATGAATGGCTGTTGTGAAAAAAAGTTTCAAAGTTCAAGTTTACAAAGAGATATTATTATAAGCAGGAATTTTTAAAATCATTTTCAAATTGAATGTAGTTGGTTTTGTTTAACTTTTCTAAGCTTTGAGTTTGATGTCGATTTAGTTTATTTCGTATTTCGTAGAATTACTTAAGTGTGGTGTAAAGTCTAGCCAGTAAATATGTACTTTATGGTGATTTATTAGTTGTTTTAATTAATCGGTTGAAGTCTAAGTGTTGCTGAAAATGGTGTGTCCTAAGAAGCGTCCATAATCGCCTAATATTTCTGTGTATCAATTAACTGTCAATAATATAATTAAAGTAAAAAAAAGGTAAAATTTCAGCCTATATACGTCCCACTGCTGTTCACAGGCTTCCCCTCATTTCTGAGAGAGTTTTAGTTAAATTTAATTAATATAAATTAATCTTTACAAAAATAGTTTTATTTCCAAACTATTAAAAGTAATTCTGTGTTCCGTTCCAATTTTCTACTTATGTATTAATGGTAATTTTAATTTTAATCTTACTCTCACGTTTTGTGATAATCCTATCCTATACCTTTAAACGAGTAATTCTATATAATCGGAATCTCGGAAACGGCTCCAACGATTTGTTTTTAGGCAATGAAAAACTGCTACAATATAAGAAGGAAAATTTTGGCAGTAAAATAATGATCGTAATAGCTCATGTAGGATATCCGGCGGGCTCGAAATCGAGGCAACCTGGTTCGCGTCCTGTCTTCGGGCCGACTTTTTTCTTTTTTTTTTCAAATTCCCTTCTTTTGTGAGAAAATCTGTTATTTCGAGCCCTCTTATTAGTATTATTTTAAAACACGAAAATTTAAATTAAACTAATTGCACTCATGATTTTTTATTCAAATAACCAGTTTAGTTTTTTCTATTATGTCAATAAGATCAAAAAATATTACTCGTGTTTCATCAGTATGTAATTTGTTTCTTAATATAATTTCTAAAATACACGATTTCCAAAAAATACATCCAGGTATGTACTTACTTGTTTAATATGTAATCTAATAGAAATTGTAATAATACGTTTTAGAACTTTGAAAAATTTGGAATTTTGAAAAATTCCAAAACGTATAATTACTATTTCCATTCCAATTTTCTACATTTAGATGTAGAAAGTTGCAATGGAAATAGTTATAAATGAAAATAATATGTAATATTGAATGCGAGAGTGAGCATATTATATTTACTATACTCTTTGGTTTAGTTGCCGTGCGTATCAGTACTAGTTTTTTTTTATTAACTAGCTTTACGGCTCTGGGTTCATCATTCTTTAAAATAGGAGCGGCACTCCGTCTACGGCCAAGTTCCCGCCAAAACCCTGTCAGTACTTGTCGTCGATCATTTTATAGACCAAGTATATACATACATGATCCTTATATTACATTATGTTGTACAGAGTGGATCATTGTACGTTTGTTTGATGAAGCGATTAGAAACTATCCATGTTTGTGGAATACTTCTTTAAGATTTTACAAATGAAACGAAACTAAGGACGCTGCGTGGGAGTAAATTGTGAAAGAAAAAAATACAAAGACGGTAAGTAATAATAAAGTTTTATTTAAAAAAAATGGGTTACTACATGCAGGTTATTACTGTGCCTGATGAATTCGTGACGTTAATATATTGCCATGACACTTTTCCCTTATTATTGAAATAGGAGCAGCATTTCTCTCTAACTTGACAAACATCATTTGGCTCGGCGTCGATGGTAATGTTAGGAATGTATAGAAGAGTAGTTGTATTATTGCTAAAAGACAAGGAGTCACGCTGTCTTTCTATTAACACATTATGTAATACAATAGTAGTTTTTATGACTTTGTCCACTGTTTCACGTTACATTCAAAGTATTTACGAAAAACATACCATTTTTGCACCAATACACCAAAAGTGGATTCCACAATTCCACGTGCTCTCGAAAGTCTATAGTTAAATAACCGTTTTTGTTCATCTAATTGTCCTTGCAGATATGGACGCGTTACAAAAATATATGCGATAGACAATCTGAAATCAAAACACATGAATGGAGATCATGAAATACCTTTTGACATACATTTTAAAAAGAGATAGAGGGCAAGTTCTAAAGAGAATTTTGCATCACAAATAATAAAACAAAATTGTTTTTTTCGAACTACACAAGCGTCATCAAGTCAAAATAACGATATTTTAAGTCACTATGACAATCCTAGTAGAAATTGCATCAGCGTCAGATTCGGGAACGAATTTAGCAACTCAATCATCATAAAAGAAGAAAAAATGAGATGAATTATTAAGTTTATTAAATAGACATAATTATAGATAGTCAAGAAATTTATCGAAGAGAAAGACAAGAATTAAAAGAACTTTTAAAACCAACGGATCACGACGATAAAGATCTATTTTTTCTTTTAATAGCAAAAACTTATAAATCAATATCACTATAGCGTGTACAGCTAAGAACACTTGGATTTTTAAGACGAATAACACGATACCTTAATTGTTGAAATCCATCCTGCCGTTTGGAAGATACGAGGTAATAAAAAAATTTACAAACATACAAGATTGCGCGAAAAACATAACCCTTCCTTGGCAGTCGGGTAAAAAAGTATTGAAATCCGAAGTCCGGGGTGAAAGCTCCAAAATCCGGGAACCTTACGCTTTCGGTCCTGGAGGGCAGGTTTTAGAGATGGCAGTCCTATAAATGAGTACCGCGTTTTTTTAATAAAATTAGAATTAGTTCCCTTTCTGTTCAATCGATGCTCGATCGATGCATTTATGTTGCGTCCTTGATACAAGGGCTACTACTATAAAAACTCT